CAGTATATGACAGTTTTAAAGAATTTTTATATTTTTGTGCAAATACCCAGAAATGGGATAACTGGATTTTATGGATTTATATTTTCAGTTTTTTGAGGACTCTTCATTCTGCTCTCCATAATGATTGCATCAAGTTTCCTTCAAACCAATGGTGTATACGGATTTCTTTCTCTTCACAAACTTCCTAACATTTGTTGTTCCTTGTCTTTTGGAAAATAGCCATTCTTATAAGTGTGAGGTAATGTTTCAATTGTTGTGTGATTCATGTTTCTATAATAATGAGATGATGGACATTTTTTTCATGTGCCTATTGGCCATTTCTGTGTCTTCTTTTAAAAAGTGTTTATTCAGATCCTCTGCCCACTTTTAAATTGGGTTAGTTCCTTCTGATTGAATTTTATAAATTATATGTATGTAATCATATATTAACCACTTATTGGATGTATCATGTACAGATATTTCTCCCATTCAGAAAGGTGCATTTCCATTTTGATGATGCAAGTTTCTTTCACTGTGCAGAGGCTTTTCAGTGAAGTATTCCCATTGGCTTATTTTGTTTCCCTCGCCGTTGAAATAGTCATGAAACATTTCTCTACAGCTGATGGCAAGGAGCATATCACCTATGTGTTCTTCTATGTATTTTATGGTTTCAGTTCTTGTGTCCAAGTGTTAAATCTAGTTTTAGTTAATTCTTGGGTATGTTGTTAAATAGTGGTCTACTCTCATTCTTATGTATGTGAGTGTCCAGTTTGCCCATTAGCAATTATTGATGCAACTTTCTTTCCTCCAATGTAATTGATTCTCTGTGTTGTCATAAATTAGTTGTTCATATGAGTCTGATTTTGTTTATGGATTCTCATTTCTGTTCCACTGACCTATGTGTCTACTTTTATTCCAGTGCCAGATTGTTTCAGTTGTCACTTTGTAATATAGCCTGAAGTCTGGGAGCATGGTACCTCTGATTTTTATCTTTCTTCTCAGAAGTGTTTTTATTATTTGGGGCCCCTTATAGTTGCAACTAAATTTCATGATTTTTTGTTCTATTTCTTGAAGAATTTCGCTGAAACTTTGATAGGAATTACATTGAATCTGTATATTGCTTGTGTAATATTGCCATTTTAATGTTATTTCTTCCAGTTCATGATGGGATACCTTTCCATGTCTTTGTGTCTTCTGTTTCTTTCAAGAAAGTCTTAGCTTTCAGTAGGTTAAACTTATTCCAAATTATTTTATTCTGCTTGATGTGATTGTAAATGAGATTGTTTTCCTGATTTCCCTTTCTACTAGTTCATTACTTGTTTATAGTAATGCAACTGATTTGTAAGTATTCATTTTATAGCCAGCTGTATTCATGTTACTGCATTCATTTATATTTCTAGTAGCTTTTTACTGAAGCCTTCATAATTATTCATGTATATCATCATATCATCTGCATTGTGAGTTTTATACTTCTTCCCAATTTGGATATATTTTATAGTAACGCTAATTCATATTTTACCTTCTTGGAAAGGTATTTATGTTCTTGGAAAGACTTGAAATCTCATTATCTAAAGTTGTTTTTTAAAGATTTATTTATGCATACAGAACTGGGGTACAGGCCAGAGGTACAGGGATGGTGAGAAGATTCACCAGAGACAGAGTGGGGAGCAGAATAGGCAGATTGACAAGCTATACTGCTGGGGGGCAGGGACAGCTGATGAGACAGGAGAGGTCTGCTGCACCAATTGGATCACCTCTGGAGCGGGGATTGAACTTGCACTGAAATGGCTGCAACTAGCTTGCAGTGCTGCTCCTAATTCGCTGAGTCACCAGGGAGGGCCTATCTAAAGATTTTTAAAATGCTTTCCCCTCCTTCTACCTTTTCTCTCCTCATTTTTCTAGTTCCCTTTCCAACAGGCAGCCATCTTTACTTCTTTTATCACATCTTCTGCC